TTGAGATTTGTTTCTTGTAAAAGAATTAAGTCTATTTTATATGATTTTAGTAAAGTTAAAGTTTTTTGAGCCTTTACATTGTTGTTAAGGCCTTTTACGTTTAGTGTGGTGATCTTGATTATAAGTTAATATGTAGGTGTTAGGCTACACTTGTGGTTGTTTCGTTGGTTAGACATGAGAAGAAGTAACTCCTTAAAAGTTATTCCTCTTATCCACTTTGTTGACTCTTGTAAGTGGCGAAAAGCCTCCTTTCTTCAATTTGCTCTTATACTTTCCTTTTTTTGAGGTAACTAAGGTAAATTACAAGGTGCAATATCCATTTCCACATCTGTTGATGTGATATCATTTGTAGGTGTATTTACAGCCTCTAGTTCGTTTTCAGTTGTTTCTATCTCATTAGTTTCTGTAATTGTGTTTGTGAGTTCTTTTTCCTCTGTTTGAGATATCTCTGGAGAGGTTGTCTCTTTTGGAGTTTGCATTGTATTTTGTTTCTCTGTACTACTTTCATCTGCTTTTTCTAAGACCATTTCTGTAGCATAAGGATTTTCAGGACTAAATTGAGTTTGTGTTTCTACTTCGTTTAGGCTCTGCTTTTTTGCTTCTAGTTCTCTTTGTTTTTTATACTCTTTTAGTTTTTGTCTGAATTCAATTGAAGCTTTTAAATCTTTGCAGTCTTTCTTGATGTGCCCTGATTGTTCGCAGTAATAGAAGACTTTTGGGGCCTCTTTCCAATCTGTTGAGACTTTGTAGTCACCTACATGGATGTATCTAGGAAGTCTTTTAGCTAGGTCAGGATCCTCTATGGTTTCGAAGGTGATAATCCATTAGTCTGAACATATTGATGTTCCTTCAAATAAGAGTGGTTTAATGATGCAATAGTGCTTACATCTTGGAATGCTATCTTGACAAGTTCGTTTATCTGTTCCTTATCTCCCATCGGCATATTTCTTAACTTGACTGAGAGAAAATTACGCTTGAGGTTTACTGGGATGTAACCAAATAGAGTTTGATTAAAAATACTAATTCCTTCTGAAGCATAAAGCTTTTGTTTGTCTTTGTTAACAAAGACGGTTTCTAGAAAAGCAAGCTTTCCTCTTTGCATATGTGTTTTGGCTGCTAGTAGGTCTCCTCCTAATTTAGTTGCCAAAGCTAAAATTATGTTGTTTGTAGAGATATTTACCAGATCCTGAATATTAAAAATGAGTGCATTTTCATTTTTGGAGAGTATTTTCTGTTTTGGTGTAGCATTTGTAAACGTAGCCTTTTACGCTTTTAGTTTTGACCATCATTTGTTCTCAGAAGGTTGATTCCCTGTTCTGGAGGTGTGTGTGCTGAGTCCATCCTTTAGGTCGGGATCTGCTGTTTGTGTGTCATCATGTGTTGCGTTTATGTGTTTTTGTTTGTTGTTTATTTTGTTTGATGTGTTTGCATGGTTTGTTGTGTTGGAAGACTCAACATATGCTTCTTGTTGATCGCCAGAATTTACGATTTCGTTTTCTTTTATCTTTGCCTGTTCTTTTTCTACTTGGTTAGCCCAGTTGGCATTAGGCTTATCAAGATTCATGTTTGTTGACATGTTCACTTCTAACTTGAGGCTGCTGTTGTTGTTATTGTTGTTGTTAACTAGTTCTGCAATATTTTCTTTGTTTTTTTTTTTATTTTCTTCAGTTTTTGTGAAGTTGAAAATTTTGTCGTTGTTTGCAAAAAGCCTGGGTTTCTTGTTGTTTGGTTGCTTACCCATGTTTAAAGTAATAAGTTTGTGCTTCTTGGACCCTAAGGTCCTTGTTTTGTTGGGAAAGTCAAAGATAAAAAATGAACTTTTTTGTAAAATTGTGTTTTCAAGTGTTTTTCCGGAGGTGAACCAGAAAGAGTTTTTATTATTGTTTTTTGTCTTTTGTTTTGATTATTAAGTCCCTTTACATTTAGGGTAGCAATTTTAATTATTGCTTTAGTCATTAGATTATGAGAGAAGATATACTCTTATTGAGCTTTTGGTAAATTCTCCTCTGTTCGTCCTTTCTTGTATGGAGTTTGCCACTTTTGCTACCAAGAAAGACATATAAAAAAAGAATACTTCCAGTATAAAGAATTAGTTGCACTAAGACAACATTATAGAGAATTCCAAGAAGCCTTTAAGACAAAAGACAGAGATAACTATAGCAAAGTAGCTCAAGAAGTAGAAAGTTCTCTGGAAACCAAAGAAAAAGAAGAAGCAAAAGAAGAAGCAATGAGTATAGAAACACCTGAGGAACAAAAGATGAAGGATGTTTCTTCCAGTATAGTCAGCGAATTTGTAGATCTGCAAAAAGTAGCTGAACAAGCAATCACTTTCTCTTACAACAAAGGACAAGCTAGCACTGATGGCCTATCATTTAGAGATAATAACAAATAGAATAACCCTACTCAAAGAAATGTATTGTTGGCAATTCCAATAGAAGAAGACTTTACAACAGTATCCTACAAAAGGAAAAAGAACAAACAAATCAAAAATATACGCAAACAAGCAACAGTAAG